AAACAAAATTTCCGCGTTCTCGGGGGACATCTCGCCATTGAGCTCAGCCTGCAGCTCTGAAGCTCGAGCATAGAGATCTGCTGCCTCCTCGTAGAGCTTGCGCGCATACTTTGCAGTACCTTGCGCAGAGAGATCTGCCAGAGATACCTTCGCCGAATTGAACGCTTCCATCGCCGCAGCTGATTGATCGGACAGAGTGGTTGGTGGTTCAATTGGTTCTGCCATTGCTGACTTTGGGATCGAAGGTTGATTGGTATGTAATTGTAGTTGGAAGATGTGTAGTCGTATCGTTCGAAAATTGAGAGATCGCGTCGCTGTGAAAGGGAAGCTGATCTTTAATGAGAAGATTGGATGATGAGATGGGCAGAAGTGAAGGCGCTTTGCGACATGTGAGCAAGTGGTCAGTTTCCAAGGAACAAGGGTCTCGCGCCTCCCTCGCGAAAAAGCACTCAAAACGCGTCAAGGCGCGTCTCCCATGCCCCTTCTACAAGCAAAGTCGACAACATAGCAATGCGAATACTGTAAACAGCACGATCACAAAAATGTCTCGTCCAAATCAAGGGGAGAAAGCTCGAGCAGCTCCTTTATTCAAAGCGCCGAAGACGCCTGCACCTTTCAATCCAATTCCATCCTCGTCACCAGCCTTTGGAACGCCAGCATATCCCATTAAACCCTACCAACAGGCTGCACCTCCAGCAAAAGCCAGCATCCTCCCCATTATCCTTCCTCCCGCTACTTTACGACCATTGGCGTTTCGGACATTCACGAAGAAACATAGCCTGACCCTTACATCCTCCGCTCTACAAGTATTAGCCACATTCATTGGCAGACATTGTGGAACAGAATGGCGAGAAGAGGGATTGGCAGAGCGCGTTCTGGAAGAGGTAGCAAAAAGCTGGAAGAACAGGAACAGCGGGGTCATTGTAGATGGAGAGGCCAGTGACTTGAAAGACATATTGAAGAATTTGGAGGGGAGCATGAGTGGAGGGAGAATAGTGTCCAGCAGAGAGTTAAGCCGTCAGAACAGTCTAGTTCTTGGGTCTTCACAGAATGGAGAAGTCTCTCATACAAGACTTGGATTGCGACCGAGTGTTCTGGGAAGGGAGGACAGTCAGACGAGTTTCGGTATGTCCTCACTAGAAGTCGAGGAAGAGGAAGATGGAGACGATGGTCTTAGAGATCCCAGGAAGTGGCTGAAGGTCATTGATGCATTTGATCAACCGCGATTAGTGTACAACGTTGGCAAGAAACATTTTGACAGGTCAGTCTTAGTCAACTTCATCAACAGCTGTGCTAAAATCCCCTTAGAGACACGTCAAAACCATCTCTTCTTCCGTCTGCTTCTCACAAAACCCAGGTTTTCCGGAATCGATATAATCTTATTCATCAGCGCCTGCTCAGGAACGAATCTTTTCAGACATCAACATTTGAAGCGAAAGCTCCTCTCAAAATATATTCATCTGCGCTTGCCACGACACAACAATCTTATAAATTGACGCCAATTGCCAATCTCCTCGGAAGAAATGGCACCAGCCATATGATTTTAGGTCTTCTGACTATTTCACCCACCGGAACGTTAGCAATCAACGACTTGACGGGCAGTATCGCTCTGGATCTCACGCATGCCAAGCCAGTTCCAGAAGATGGAGCTTGGTTTGCACCTGGCATGATTGTGTTAGTCGATGGAACTTACGAAGAAGACGATGATGGCGGGGGAGCACTTGGAGGGAGCGGCGGCGTTGGTGGCACCATTGGTGGTAAATTCATCGGCTTCTTCGTTGGTGGCCCTCCTTGTGAGAGGCGGAAGATGACTCTTGGACTCACTGGCGACGGTGAAGGCGGAGTTACTGCTGGAGGTGGTTTTGGCTGGGTCGACTTTCTAGGAGTGGGTAGCGAGCGTGCTGTAGGATCCAAAATGAGGAAACTTGAGCAACGGTTACTGCGGCCAGGAAAATTCGAGGACGACATAGGCGGCAAAGGCCGTATGATTGTTATAGGAGAACTGAAGCTCGACCAGCCGAGGACTCTGCAGGCCCTGAAGAAGCTGCTGGGCTTGTATGCTGCCGAACCAGAGGAAGACACCCCGATGACTTTCGTCTTGATGGGGAACTTCGTCCAACACGCAGTCATGGCTCGAGGTGGCAGTGGTGGTAGCATTGAGTACAAGGAGTACTTTGATAGCCTGGCTTTAACGCTGTCAGACTATCCAACACTCCTACAATCTGCAACTTTCGTTTTTGTACCAGGCGACAATGATGGCTGGGCATCATCTTTCTCGGCAGGTGCAGCGACTCCGCTACCCAGAAAAAGCATACCAGACATGTTTACCTCACGAATCAAGAGAGCATTTGTAACAGCGAACGCAGAAGCAGAAAAAGAGAGAGGGAAGAAGACGGATGGAGAAGCAATTTGGACCAGCAATCCCTCACGGCTGTCACTCTTCGGGCCGACTCATGAGATCATACTGCTTCGTGATAACATGACAAGCCGTCTGAGGAGGACAGCCATCAAATTCTCATCTTCAAAAGCAAAAGAGGAAGACGTTGAAATGGCAGGTACACCCGTTGCGACGCCAGAAGCCACGCCTGAACCCGAAGCCGAGTTTGCAGCTCCAGAAATGGACGTGGATGCAGATGTACAGGCAGCAGAGTCTCACATTCCTGATCCTGCTGCTGAAAATGCATCGGATTTGCACGTCGCAAGGAAACTGGTAAAAACGATCTTGGACCAAGGCTATCTGTCACCGTTCGGGATGGCGGTTCGACCCGTCTTGTGGGACTATGCCAGCTCTTTGCAAGCCTATCCTTTGCCCACAGCAATGATCTTAGCGGATACAGAGGCACCAGCTTTTTGTGTGACTTATGAGGGATGTCATGTCATGAATCCAGGGAGTATTGTAGCGCCTGGACGGCGAGGTGTCGCTAAATGGGTAGAATATGATATTCGGAAAAAGGTTGGAAAGGTACGGGAAGCGTTGTTTTAAGTTACCCCATGGGGTATAAGGCGTCTGGATTTGACTCATGCTGTACGAATGATGAACTTGTATGTACTCATGGAATGGACATGAGGATGATATACCAGGCAATAATAGGCTTTTATACAAGATGTGGTTCTCGTGAACGTGGAACGGGAATGGCAAAGTCCCAGCACCAAAACCGGTCCGAAAGTCTGGGTGATTTAAAACGAATTCAGCGTGGAAAGGGCAACAGAAGAGTTCTTGCCGTTCTGGACTTTCGAAATGGGAGTGTCACGTGCACTAGCCGAGATCCACTTTCGGCGATAGGAAGCTCTAATCTAATCGATAACAAAAAAATGTATTTCCCAAAAACCTCAAAATTTACCAGCCCACTTCCGCACTCGATATTTCCGGCCATCCTCCCAAGAATTTCTCTTTCCTTTGATCGAAAACGAGATGGGGAAGCTCAAGTCAAACAAGCGCAACAGCGCAGCCTCTGCGAACACACCATACTCGAAAGCGCAAACAGCAACGAACAATGTCTTCAAATTCAATACCAACGTGGGCCAGCATATTCTCAAGAACCCAGGTGTCGCCGAAGCTATTGTCCAGAAAGCGAATCTTAAACCGTCCGACGTCGTACTTGAAGTAGGCCCAGGTACTGGCAATCTCACGATCAGGATACTGGAGAAGGCAAAGAAGGTCATTGCGGTGGAATTGGATCCTAGGATGTACGTTTTATGCATTTATATTTCTATATTTTACAATGTTAAGGTGCAAATAACTAATCAATTTTAGGGCGGCTGAGGTTACAAAACGTGTCCAAGGGAAGCCGGAGCAGAAGAGATTGGAGGTCTTGTTAGGTGATGTGATTAAGACCGAGTTACCGCCTTTCGATGTGTGTATTAGCAATACGCCGTATCAGGTACCTCCTTCTCCATGTTTGTGCGAACAATAGAATTGACAAAAGTTCAGATCTCAAGTCCTTTGGTTTTCAAGCTCCTTGCTCTACCAAATCCTCCTCGAACCTCAATACTTATGTTCCAACGCGAATTTGCACTGCGCCTTACAGCAAGGCCAGGAGATGCATTATATTGTCGATTATCAGTCAATGCACAATTCTGGGCCAAGATCACACACATCATGAAAGTCGGAAAGAACAACTTCAAGCCACCACCACAAGTTGAGTCTTCAGTCGTACGAATAGAGCCGAAGATGGGTACTGAGAGACCTGGTGTGAGTTGGGATGAATGGGACGGAATGCTTCGTATCTGCTTTGTCAGGAAGAACAGAACTATGCGGGCGAGTTGGCTGGGGACCAAGGAGGTACTGGCTATGGTAGAGAGGAATTATAGGGTTTGGTGCGCTATGAATAATGTGGCTGTTGACGATACAATCGTTGGTGAAGAGGACGATATGGACGTCGACGGTGGTGGCCCAGCAGAAGAGGAGGAATGGGGTGGTATTATGGATGTGGATGAGGATGGTGATGAGACGCCTGCTTTCTTCAAAGAGGAAGCTGAGCGGATAGAAAAAGAGCATGGAGGAAAGACGAAGAGTAAAAAGAAGAAGACGAGGGTAGCGGAGTTGGTGAGAGAGAAGATCAGGAAGGTGTTGGAGGATAAGACGGAGTTGGCGGACAAGCGCGCAGGGAAGTGTGATGAGAACGATTTCTTGAAGCTTCTGTATGCATTCAATGAGGAGGGGATCCATTTCGCTTGATAGAGAGCTGACACCCCAAATTTGGCTTTAGCATGGCGTTGGTGGGGCTCTGTGGTAGAAAATTCTGCTTAGGAAAATTTGACTCGCTTGCTTCGGTTAAGCGTTCAGGGGAAATGAAAAGCCACAATAGGCACATTTGCAAAAATAAATGCTCTGTACAAGAAACTTCTTTGCCTACGTGATTATGCTTGAACAGTAATGCAGTTTTTATAAGACTCGGCTCTTCGAGAGAGGGTTGTTGAGCAAAATGACTAGCCTCCTTCAGAGGCTCCTCAATCACCACCACAACCACGAAAACAGAACAAAAAAGAATGGAATAAGCTGAACAGAGTGGGACTCGAACCCACGCCCCTTTCGAGACTAGGAAACGTTGTTAAGATACACCTTAACCTAGCGCCATAACCAGCTCGGCCATCTGTCCTTGTTGCTTTTGATTGGTCGAGTACTTGATAATTTAACCATATACAGGTGTTTTTGTGCCCCCAACGTTTCGGACATTAGGCGAGACTGGTCTTCCGTAGGGTAATTCTTCAATTCTTCAATGTAAAGCAAAAAAAGGTCTTCAGTCTTAACTTTGCACGGGTTCACATAAACAACCACAATATTTTGACTTGAGCAGTGCAAACATGTATCTATTCAACATTTACCTGTCACCTTGATCAAAGGAAGAAGCAAAATAAAAACCAAAAAAGAAGAGGCTCCGATATAAACTCGGGGACATGAACTCTAGAGAAACTCTCTGACGGGGAGTCTACTTTTTATTAGTTGAAGCTCATGGACTTCCTATTTAGAGATGCTTACCGAACCCCGATCTCCCGCGGCCTTGCCAGGTTAGTGACAAGCGGAAATCATGACCGTTAGACCATCAAAGATATGAGCTAGTTGTTGTGGATTGAATGTTATTTTAAATCTATATTGTGTTGTGGCGGGGTGAGTCGAGAGCAGAGCAGGTGGGGTCTCGGTTGAGTAGTTTGCAGGCAAATGCACGGCTATGACTAACGACAATCTAGACTCTTCTTGTCTGTTATAAGAAATGGAAGACAGGTCCGGAAGTCCATCAAAAATGTACGAGTACTTTCCTACTCAAAGTTTAACCTGCTTGAGACAGAGATATGCTATACATTTGTGTAGGCACGTTGTATTAAAATGGCTGCCCGCTATTGGGTCGCTTAATGGCAGTACCCTTTTTTTTCTCCAGCTTTGGAAATGACAAATGTAACACAGCTTCTTCTTCTCTAACTAATATTCTATTTCTACATATCTGCGTCGGTCACACTCGCGCTTTTCCCGGCCTCCATCACGCCAATGTCTCAGACCTTTTAATTCCTCGTATTCATCGAAGCCGACAGCATCGTTCATCAAACCTCTCCATTCGAATTTGTATCTAAAGGCATCTATTCCTTCCACCAACGAGCAGCCAACTATTACTCTACCGAAAGAAGCCATCAAAATGTCCAACATCATCGAAGCTACTGAAACATCCTTCGGGTCTCAAGTAACCGAAGACAACGGCCTAACCCTATTCACCTTGCGATTGCAACCCGAGGTTACCGTATTCAGTCGAATATGTTGCACATCCCTGACCGGGTTAGCCTCTCACCTAGTCCTCCTCGCCTTCAAGTGTACGAGGGCTTCTTGTTTATCGCTATCATGATCATGCTCGTCTGTTCAATCTTCTAGGGGAGCGTTCCTTGTCTTTCTCCACACACTTAGAGACGACCACCCGCCGACTTGGAGGGTAGTGGTAGCAATAATGGCAATTCTTGCTAGCACCGTAGCTGCTCTTTGGGTTATGGCATGTTATGACAAACGTCGAGCGCCGGACTATGTTTGGGAGGACTGGAAGTTGCGGAAGGAATGAAAATGCTCATTTAGTTTGTCATGTCTCATCATTCCAATTCTTCATCGCTACCAACGCCGATATTCTCCCATGCCAGTATCTACATTATGGTATCATGCTCTCGCCGAACTCCTGCCCTGCTCTCGCCCAGCTGGTCTGCTCGACTTCTTCCTTACAGGCTGGTAAACATCATTAAAGTTCATAACAACACCCAAGAATCTCATATCCACATCTGGCTGGTATGCCAAATCACCCAATAATAGACAGACCCTCGATTTGAAATGTGCTCCTAAAGCCTGAAGTCTTTCTTGCAGAACTGGAAACTCGTCGACGATGGAATCATCGATACCTAAAGCAGGTGTAGAATCAGGAAGATGGCGTGGCCCGCGACGAGTCGTAGCTGGTGTGTTGATCAAGACGTCGTCGTCGTCTCGTCTGTTTTGCACATCGTTGCGAACATCTGCACCTTGGCGTTTCGTGAAATCGGAGACAGACCAACTGTACAGTCCATCTACGGCATCTCGATAGCTAAGCATCAATCGTAGGATTTCGCCAAGTTGAACCATGAATGTGTTCTCATCCACTTCACCATGATGCTTTTTCTTCGCACCAAGGAGACCTTTATGGGTAATAGCATTCAGGTATTTGGTGTGTGCTTTGATGAGATCGTCCAGAGTACAGCCCTCCTTGTGTATGGCAGTCTGGAGTTCATCCCATGAGCTTTCGATGACCTCGAACAAGATGTAGTATTGCAGCTGTCCAATGAAATGAATCATCTCGGCCAATACACCTCTTGTAAGTTTCCATGCCTTGGTGACATTTTCGTCTTCGCCCTGAAGCACACCCCTCGATCCCGTCATACACTTCCGCCAGGTTGAAGCCAGAGCAAACTCGACACGCTTGATTCGCCATAGGAAGTTGAAGACTTTCAGATATTGGCGGTTGCCCCACTCAGTCACCACAACATCCACCGGAGCATCAATCTTGTACTCCAGTGTGAAGCAATCCCAACCGATGTCACCATGCGACAACTGAAGCATCCTAGCATCCAACCTGCGAAGGACTTCTGGAGAATCGTACTGTGCATTCGAACCTCGAATAGCATGCTCAAGTTGAGCAGTGAGGGTGTGACGGTACTGGGCGCCTGCCGGTCGATCCAGATTGGAGGACAGTGATTCCATAAGAAGCGCTATGAAGTCGCCTTGTCCCAGAAGAATATAGTTCTTGAGTGCCTTCAGATGTTCGAACAAGTGGAACTTCTCCGACATCAGATGAATGAGACGAGCCATAGTCGTCTTGTAGGCTTCATCGATCCAGGTCTCGAGGGTGGCTGTGTCTCCATATCTCAATTCTTTCGATGCAGCCTTTGAGTATTCTTCTACCCATTGAGAATCACCGCATCCATACCGAATGAAGTTGAGGGATTTTCCAATCAGGAAGACCTTTTGTGCAAAATCTTGGGTGATGATGGTCGGTACCATATCCTCATTCAGCTTGTATTTGTCTTCCCAGACACTACTTGCCCCTCCACGATTCCTGGCATCTGGAGTGTCGTTGATTGCATTGGGATCTTGCTCGGAGACGAAGAACTCATGATATGGATCAGACAATTCTCCATCGTAAATCCACTGTCGAAGCATGTCATAAAATGGCCGCGTGACATGGACCAGAAGTCTCTCAGCGAATGCTCCTACCATAGGGTCGCCGTGAGATGACGAGAAGCCATGAATCAGAGATATCAGCTGTCCGCCCTTCTTGCTCTTGGATTCCTCGCTGATCAAACTCATCAGCCGAAGTCCCATCGTAGCCTCCCGGGTCCAGACGACACATCTCTTGAGTGTCACTCCTGCTTTTCCAATGCCACCTCTTGGCTCTCTCTCATCAAGTGAGGCCAAAGCTCGGCGAATCTGACCTTCCAAAGTGGCAACGAGACCAAGATATGATCTCAGTTCACCTCCAATAGCCGCTCTTAAGCTCTGCCCGAGAAGACCACCGCCGGGAGATTGGATGAACGATGCTAAACCTCTGTACAAAAGAGATGGTTCAGCCAGTGTGTGAAGAATAGAAATTATAGGTACAGGTAGGGTCGAGGGTAATTTCAAGGTCAATTCGGAGGAAAATGGAAGATGACTTGAGGAAAGTCCTTGTAGTGTGAAGGGTAGATCTCTCAGGAGAGCTGTCTCGGGTGGATCGATCTCGACATAGTTCTCTGCCAAAAGTGCCGTCTTGAGTGCAACACCCTCGCGCTGGGTAGCAGCAGATTTTGCAAATGCCTGCTCTTCCTCTTTCCTGTCCCGTTGCCCGCCTTCTCGTTCCGGAAGCTTCTTCAGTCCTTCGGGCGCGAATGCCTCAGCCGGAATATCGTCATTTCTTTTCGCTCCATAATTTGGTGAGCCAGGTATTACATCCTCAATATTCCTTCTTCTCTTGATCGGACTCTTAAAAGGGCTTGTGAGAATCGGCGGTGTCCTCTGTTGATGGTCGCTGAGCTGGTAGAGGAAGTAAAGAACAGCCCATTTCTGGGTGATAACCGGTATGGAAAGCAGTCGACTGTAAAGATTCGTGAATCGCAGAGCCTTTTCGGGGCTAGGATTTGTTTGTAATAATCGTTTCTTAATCAGGTCTGAAGCTTGATTGACATCTGCGACAACAGCTGGACTGTCCGAACTATGTACAGGAGAGATCAGCCTATGCTTCGACGGCTGGAAGATGAATCAAACCTCTCCAAGATCTCTCTCACAAAATCCACAGCGCTACTTTCTCTCTCTTCTACTGCGGCAGGTTCCTCTCCCGGGATCTTGACCAGAAGCCGTCGCACTAGGGAGTTGATACCAGTATTGACGCGTTGGCTGCGTGAAGACATATTATCATTGTCGCAAATAACCAGCTGGACTTGATATCTTTTGTGGGCATGAAATCATAATCTGCTATTTGTTGCTGTAAACTTGACGCGTTGGGGACGCGCCTTTCGCTTGAGGCACCTAGCCTCGCTGTGTAAGAAAAAGCAGCACCCCAAAGTCTCAAGCAAAAATGAACATTAGAAGCCGAGGAAAGTCTTCAAGTCAAGCCAAATGTTTTACTATTAAGCAAATAAAATCTCACGCCTTTCGGTAAACACTTCTAGAACTTCACTGCAAAGTTCCTTGGGTTTTGGGACATTAGATTGCTCTCTTTTCCCGCTCTCAGAACGTGTGCCGCTTTTATTTGACATCGCGAGCCAACCCGGTTCAGGCAAAGAAGGACGTTCATGAACGTCCAACGTCACCAAGGCGCAAAATCGGTCGATTTCCAGCATCAACCACAACGCCAAATTATCGTCAGTCATCGCCAAATTCCGTCGCTGGCTTTGGCTGGAGCTGACAATCATATGGCCGTGCTGGAAGTAATCCATCTCGCGATGTAAAGGCCGCCTCAGGCGCGACGAATTCACAATGCCCGATATCGATCCTGCAGCGTTGTCCCGCCCTGCCATCTCGACAACACCCATTTTACCTCCAAAGACCATCTCTTCATCTGCGCCAAGTGTCCCAAAGGTTTCTAAGTCCTACAATGTTCCTGCGCGGATTGATCTCGAGCCACTC